CCTCCTCCTGAACCTCCTCCTCCTCCTCCTGAACCTCCTCCTCCTCCTGAAACCTCCTCCTCCTCCTCCCTCCTGACCTCCTCCTCCTCCTCTCCAGACCTCCTCCTCCTGAACTCCTCCTCCTCCTGAACCTCCTCCTCCTCCTCCTCTCCTCCTCCAGAACCTCCTCCTCCTCCAACCTCCTCCTCCTCCTCCTCCTCCTGAACCTCCTCCTCCTCCTGAACCTCCTCCTCCTCCTCCTCCTCCTCCTGAACTCCTCCTCCTGAACCTCCTCCTCCTCCTGAACCTCCTCCTCCTCCTGAACCTCCTCCTCCTGAACTCCTCCTCCTCCTCCTCCTGAACCTCCTCCTCCTCCAGAACCTCCTCCTCCTGAACCTCCTCCTCCTGAACCTCCTCCTCCTCCTCCTCCTCCTGAAAACCTCCTCCTCCTCCTGAACCTCCTCCTCCTGAACCTCCTCCTCCTCCTGAACCTCCTCCTCCTCCTCCAGAACCTCCTCCTCCTCCTCCTCCTCCTCCTCCTGAACCTCCTCCTCCTCCTGAACCTCCTCCTGAAAAGTGTCTGGATCAGAAAAACTCATGTCATATAAACCCCAAAAATAACAATAAATTAAAATATTTGTGCAGAGAAACACAAATCTGTTACACAAATCTTTTTGAATTGATGAACTCTTTCTTTTACTAAATATTATAATATTATGAACAACCTGAAACTTTAAACCTGAAAAATACAATTTCAACTCAAAGTTTGAACATGAACTTGTCTGTAAACAGGAATAAATCCATTTTTGTTGTAAAATCCTGCACTCGGCTCCACTTTTCTCATGTTGGACATTTTTCTGATGAGGGTCACGGTCAACAGTCAAAACAATCGTCTTTTGGACGTTTGGAAAGAGACAAGTCTTCATTTGTGCTGCTCTGGTGGGAGGGGCCACGTACAGAGACTCTGCTCTGGTGGGAGGGGCCACGTACAGAGACGCTGGAGACGCTGCTGTGATAAACACCACAGAAAATTAACAAGATTTTAATAGAAAATATCATTACAATATTTGAGTAAAAAATCAGCCGAGGGCCAGATTAAAGGTCTTGGGTGGCCGGATCCTGCCCCCGGGCCGTATGTTTGACACTTCTGAACTTGACGATTCGCAAAAACCTGAAAGTGTGAGTCCAGACACCGACCAATCAGAGAAGAGCGAGACATTCTGTGTTGTCGACGATTCCCCAGATCCCGGAGGATTTAAAGTCAGAACAAAGAGAACGTTTGGTGACTTTGATCTTGTTCTTCTTCCTGTGGGATTTGGAGCTTTACAAACATCACGACCAAACAGCAGCGATTGGTTCAATAAAATAAAGTCCCGCCTCCTGTCGAGTGAACCAATCCTGATGCTGCAGGTCACACGGTTTACACCAAGTGAAACCAGCTCACGAATCAGACTCTGGAACCCTCCTGATGGTCAAACGTCCCTTGAACTGTTCTACTGCCGAGCGCGGAACGTCCCTTTAACTGTTCTACTGCCGAGCGCGGAACGTCCCTTTAACTGTTCTACTGCCGAGCGCGGAACGTCCCTTTAACTGTTCTACTGCCGAGCGCGGAACGTCCCTTTAACTGTTCTACTGCCGAGTGTGGAACGTCCCTGGAGCTTTTGGGTTTGTTTCTCTTTGTTCCACACCGTGACATCATCAGTTGGTGCTCGTCTCTGTCACACTCAGACGTTCCCTGGGACACGCCCCCTGCTGGTGGTTTGCTTCTTGGGACACGCCCCCTGCTGGTGGTTTGTTCTTGGGACACGCCCCCTGCTGGTGGTTTGTTCTTGGGACACGCCCCCTGCTGGTGGTTTGTTCTTGGGACACGCCCCCTGCTGGTGGTTTGTTCTTGGGACACGCCCCCTGCTGGTGGTTTTTGTGTTTCAGTCTCAGATAAACTCAAGTTTCTATTTTAAGAGAAAAACAAAAATCCAAAAGGTGATTTAAAACGTCTGACCTCAACCTCAGACAATTTCAGAAGAATGCAGCGAGAAGAAGAAGAAGAAAAAGACAAGAAGAGGAGGAAGAAAAGGAGAAAAGGAAGAGGAGTAAACTGTCTCTTCTCTACAGACTGGTGTGTTTCTGTCGTCGTGACCTCTGACCCTGCGGCTCGTTCTGGTCTTTGTTCTGCTCAGGTTCTTTCTCTGTTTGTTTGACTCTTTGTTTGTTCGTTTCAGGAGGTAAAATTCTTCTTTTGTGTCACAGGCTCCAGTTTGTTCTTTTCACCTCAAACTGTAAAGTCCAAACATTTGAAACATTCGTGACGTCAGAGTTGAGGTTTTGTGAATCTTGTTCCACCTTTAAAAAGTCTCAGAAATAAAAGAACCCACAGAGAACGTCACGTGCAGAACAAACAAAACTCTTTACTGACGACTGAATTCATGAAACTGGGACAAACGAAAATATACAAGAACTTTTTACTGAACAGAAGTGAAAAAAACAGTTTGACTTCACTTCACTCCCATGATGCACCTGCCACAGACACAAAATAAAACAAATAAATAAACATGACTTAAATAAACTTATGATTCACATTTATAATAATTAATGGAAATAAAAATGTAAATAAATCATGTTATTTTTAGCAAATAATCAACAAATAAACCATAAAGATCAACTAAAGTGACCAAACTCCTGCATTTGAAGTAAATATTAAATCAAACTAAATAAGAATAAATATCTCAGTCATGAAAAAAGTTTAGGTTCAAACACAAACCAAACCTGCTCCTACAGATGTTTGTCCAAGTGTCCAGACGGGTTCTTCTGCCCCAGACTCAGGAACCAGAGACTAGAACATCTGAGAAGACAAACCCACATGCTCCTCCTCTTCCTCAGCTCCTCCTCTTCCTCAGCTCCTCCTCTTCCTCAGCTCCTCCCAGGTGGGCAGGTGGCAGGTGGGGCAGGTGGGGCAGGTGGGGCAGGGGCAGGTGGGCGGCAGGTGGGCAGGTGGGGCAGGTGGGCAGGTGGGCAGGTGCAGGTGGGGCAGGTGGGCAGGTGGGGCAGGTGGGCAGGTGGGGCAGGTGGGGCAGGTGGGCAGGTGGGGCAGGTGGGCAGGTGGGGCAGGTGGGCAGGTGGGCAGGTGGGCAGGTGGGCAGGTGGGCAGGTGGGGCAGGTGGGGCAGGTGGGGCAGGTGGGCAGGTGGGCAGGTGGGCAGGTGGGCAGGTGGGCAGGTGGGCAGGTGGGCAGGTGGGGCAGGTGGGCAGGTGGGGCAGGGTGGGCAGGTGGGCAGGTGGGCAGGTGGGCAGGTGGGCAGGGGGGCAGGGGCAGGTGGGCAGGTGGGGCAGGTGGGGCAGGTGGGGCAGGTGGGGCAGGTGGGGCAGGTGGGGCAGGTGGGCAGGTGGGGCAGGTGGGCAGCAGGTGGGCAGGTGGGCAGGTGGGCAGGTGGGGCAGGTGGGGCAGGTGGGCAGGTGGGGCAGGTGGGTCCCTGTCCCTGAGTCGAGGTCAGACTCTGGTGTCTAAGAGTCTCTGACCCACAGAGACTCACAAACCTCCAGACCCGACGCCCGTCACAACCTTTAACTGGGCCCTGTCAGCCCCAAGGTCGACCTGGTGGACCTGGTGGACCTGGTGGACCTGGTGGACCTGGAGGACCTGGTGGACCTGGAGGACCTGCAGTATCAGTTGCTGGTTTCAGACCCTAGTCTTAGTTTACTCAGTAAAAGCACAGACGCCATCAGCTACAGGACAGAAGTTGATGAAGCGGTGCTTTGGTGTGAGGAGCAAAACCTCGTCTTAAATGTGGAAAAGACAAAGAAGATGATTTTTGACCCTAAACCTGTCGGGACCACGGCCCCGTTAACATCAGGGGAGGGACATGGAGCAGGTGACATGTTCTATGTTCTCAGGTGTGTTCTTTGACCCTCAGCTCCAGTGGAGCTGCAGGTTCAGTCTGTCTGCTCAAGAATCACCAGCGTCTCTACTTTTCAGACGGTTTCGGTCACATGGAGTTGACACCAACGTAATGCTGATGTTTTACAAAACATGTATAGAATCTATCTGACGTTATGACATGTCAACATGGTTTATGAACCTGTCAGTCAAACTTCAAGCACAGATTTTTACCTTGACTAAAAGAGCAGGTCAAATCATGGGCGTGGCCCCGAACTCACTGCAGCAAATATTTGAGGAAACTGTGAGAAGTTCAGCAGGAAGGAGCAGAGACTCAAACCCATGTTCTTCAGTCAGTCTGAGTTGATGTCGTCAGGCAGAAGGTTCAGAGTCTCAAACTGTAAACTGAACAGATTCAAACTTTCTTTTGTGCCACTAACTGTAAAACTGCAGTTGAAACATCATTCTAATCGGCTCAGGGAATGTGCAGTAATGAACAGAAGAGAAGAATGTAAAGGGTTTGTGTGTTCAGAATCATTTCAAGGTCTTGTTGGTGCTTCACTCGTGCTCAGACTCAGTCTCATATTTATTTTGTTCTGTGGTGTTTGTTTATCTGCTGCTTTGTGTCGTGTTGTTCTGTTTTTTGATAAAACATGTGACCCTCTGTCCCAAGACAAACTTCTCCCACAGGAGAATAAAGGACGAACTGATCTGATCTGATCTGATCTTCTGAAGCGTCGCAGGTCGACTCGACTCGGTCGCTTCAGTGAAACGGTCAGATCCTCCTTCTCTTCTGGTTCTGGTTCTGGTTCTTTTTGTCGCTCCATCGTGACTCGGGGCTCGTCCGGTCGCCGGTCGAGCTTCGTCCCTCGTCTTCTTCACTCAAACCACAAACAGGAAATGACATCATGAGCCTCTCCTCCCATGATGCATCTGGAACAGTTGGTGTGGACCTGCTGCCTCTGGTCTGGACCTGAGTTAGAGCTCTTTCTTGAGTCTTGGTCCGTTTGATTTAGAGCAGATCAGAGTGAGACTGAAACTTTTACACCAACAAACACCAACAAACCAAGAGCTTCTGGACCAGCAGAATGTTTGGTGGAACATCTGCTGTGGCTGTGATAGACCCTGACGTTCTGTTTGTCTCTCCACAGAACCATGGCCTCTGTCCTGGCGTCCCCGTCTGTCCCGTCCCCGTCTGTCCTGGTGTCCCCGTCTGTCCTGCTGTGGTCTCTGCTGGTGGTGTTGGCCCCCGCGTGCTCGTCGTCGTCGTCGTTGGTCCTGCGTTTGTCCGGCGAGAGGAGGAAGCCTCACGAGGGTCGGGTGGAGGTGTTTCTCCAGGGCGAGTGGGGGACGGTTTGTGATGACGACTTCTCCCTCAGCGCCGCCCACGTCGTGTGTCGAGGTCTGGGCTTCGTCAACGCCGAGTCCTGGGCCCCCAGAGCCAAGTACGGACAAGGACAAGGTAAGACCTGATCTAGACCTGGTCTAGTCCTGATCTAGTCCTGGTTTAGTCCTGATCTAGACCTGATCTAGTCCTGGTTTAGTCCTGGTTTAGACCTGATCTAGACCTGGTTCAGTCCTGGTTTAGTCCTGGTTTAGACCTGGTTTAGTCCTGGTTTAGACCTGGTTTAGACCTGGTTTAGTCCTGGTTTAGTTCTGGTTTAGTCCTGGTTTAGTTCTGGTTTAGTTCTGGTTTAGTTCTGGTTTGTTTTAAATGTATGAAATAAAAACAGTCAAATATATTCAGTTTCTTTTCGCTGCAGCTCAGTTTAACAAACACGTTTCACACACACACAGTTCACCTCTCCTCACATCTGGGTCCCTCAGGTCCCTCAGGTCCTGACCTCCTCACACTGACCACACCGAGTCTAAACTCGTGAAACAGGAGAAATTCCGTTGATCAGCTGGATCAGTTTGTTTCTTCAGTTCTGCTCAGATGTTTCTCAGAGATTTACACACGAGAAACATGTTCAACAAAAGCAGATGGACGATCATAAAACCAGAGATGTTCAGAACAGACAGACACAACATCCTCCTATAAAACAAATGTCAAAGTTCCTCTGGCTCCTGCTCAAACATCTGTGAGCACTTCCACGTCTGAGACTCTCACCTCACACCAACACGATCCTGGACTCTGGACTCCACGTGAACCTGACTCCAGACGAGACGCTGAAGCTGCTGCTGGCCTCCATGAGCTTCATTTGGAGCTGAGGCTGCGGTGACGTCGTTCTTCGTTCTTCGTTCTTCGTTCTTCGTTCTTCTGTCTGTGGAGTGAAGATCATAAACGACAGTGATGAAACTGTTTGTGTTTGTTCAGTGGAAAGTGTCTCCCTCAGGGCTCAGCTGCTTCAGACGTGACTCACCACAAACATCTGACAAACATCTGACAAACACCTCACGTTCTATCAACAAAACACAACCAGACCTGAGACAAGACCAGAACTCAACCAGGACCCACCTGGACCTGACCAGAACTCAACCAGGACCCACCTGGACCTGACCAGAACTCAACCAGGACCCACCTGGACCTGACCAGATCTGGACCACGGTCAAGCTGGACCCACACTGTTCCATTTGTGTTTCTCCCACAGTGAGATGTTCCTCCTCGTTGTTTTTCATGAGTCTGAGGGTTCCTTTGTTCCTTTGTTCCTTCGTTCCTTCGCTCCTTCGTTCCTTCGTTCCTTCGCTCCTTCGCTCCTTCGTTCCTTCGCTCCTTCGTTCCTTCGTTCCTTCGCTCCTTCGCTCCTTCGCTCCTTCGTTCCTTCGTTCCTTCGTTCCTTCGTTCCTTCGTTCCTTCGCTCCTTCGCTCCTTCGTTCCTTCGTTCCTTCGTTCCTTCGCTCCTTCGTTCCTTCGTTCCTTCGCTCCTTCGCTCCTTCGTTCCTTCGTTCCTTCGCTCCTTCGCTCCTTTGTTCCTTCGTTCCTTTGTTCCTTCGTTCCTTTGTTCCTTCGTTCCTTCGTTCCTTTGTTCCTCAGACCCTTGTGAGGAACATCTGTCTCCAGGAAAAAGAAGTGAGACTGGAGCCTGTGCTGCACAACATCTGACAGACAGTTCTGCTCAAAAGATCTAAATATCGATATATCGTTTGGTTTCATGTGATGATTCAGTATCGATATCGTGTTTTATTTTTATGTGTGTAGGATTTTTTGGTTTATTTTATTCAATGTTTTAGTTCCAGTTTTGTTGTTTTGTTCAGAAACTCGTTTCTGCGACACATTTGACATTTTCACTGTTTTGACGATTAAAACAAAAACTTTTAGAACATGATTTTTAATTGAACCGATTCAAATCGATTTGAAATATATCAAATCAAAATCCCACTGTATGGAGATCTGTATCGTACCTCGTGTTCTCCTCATGTTCTCCTCGTGTTCTCCCGGTGTTCTCCTTGTGTTCTCCTCATGTTCTCCTGGTGTTCTCCTCGTGTTCTCCTCATGTTCTCCCGGTGTTCTCCTCATGTTCTCCCGGTGTTCTCCTCACGTTCTCCCGGTGTTCTCCTCACGTTCTCCCGGTGTTCTCCTCTTGTTCTCCCGGTGTTCTCCTCACGTTCTCCCGGTGTTCTCCTCACGTTCTCCCGGTGTTCTCCTCACGTTCTCCCGGTGTTCTCCTCACGTTCTCCCGGTGTTCTCCTCACGTTCTCCCAGTGTTCTTCTCATGTTCTCCCGGTGTTCTCCTCACGTTCTCCTGGTGTTCTCCTCACGTTCTCCCGGTGTTCTCCTCTTGTTCTCCCGGTGTTCTCCTCACGTTCTCCCGGTGTTCTCCTCACGTTCTCCCGGTGTTCTCCTCACGTTCTCCCGGTGTTCTCCTCACGTTCTCCCGGTGTTCTCCTCATCTCCCCGTTCTCCCGGTGTTCTCCTCACGTTCTCCCGGTGTTCTCCTCACGTTCTCCCGGTGTTCTCCTCACGTTCTCCCGGTGTTCTCCTCACGTTCTCCCGGTGTTCTCCTCATTCTCCGGTGTTCTCCTCACGTTCCGGTGTTCTCCTCACGTTCTCCCGTGTTCTCCTCGTTCTCCTTCTCCCGGTGTTCTCCTCACGTTCTCCCGGTGTTCTCCTCACGTTTCTCCGGTGTTCTCCTCACGTTCTCCCGGTGTTCTCCTCACGTTCTCCCGGTGTTCTCCTCACGTTCTCCCGGTGTTCTCCTCACGTTCTCCCGGTGTTCTCCTCACGTTCTCCCGGTGTTCTCCTCACGTTCTCCCGGTGTTCTCCTCACGTTCTCCCGGTGTTCTCCTCATGTTCTCCCGGTGTTCTCCTCACGTTCTCCTGGTGTTCTCCTCACGTTCTCCCGGTGTTCTCCTCACGTTCTCCCGGTGTTCTCTCACGTTCTCCCGGTGTTCTCCTCACGTTCTCCCGGTGTTCTCCTCACGTTCTCCGGTTTCTCCTCACGTTCTCCCGGTGTTCTCCTCACGTTCTCCCGGTGTTCTCCTCACGTTCTCCGGTGTTCTCCTCTGTTCTTCTCCCGGTGTTCTCCTCACGTTCTCCCGGTGTTCTCCTCACGTTCTCCCGGTGTTCTCCTCACGTTCTCCCGGTGTTCTCCTCACGTTCTCCCGGTGTTCTCCTCACGTTCTCCCGGTGTTCTCCTCACGTTCTCCCGGTGTTCTCCTCACGTTCTCCCGGTGTTCTCTCACGTTCTCCCGGTGTTCCTCACGTTCTCCTGGTGTTCTCCTCACGTTCTCCTGGTGTTCTCCTCGTGTTCCAGGTCGTATCTGGTTGGACAACGTTCACTGTTCGGGCTCGGAGGCGTCTCTTCTGGACTGTCAGTCAAACGGAGTGGGCGTGTCCGACTGTAAACACTCGGAGGATGTGGGCGTGGCCTGTGCCCAGAGACGAATCGCAGGGTTCAGCTTCATCAAGAACAACGCACAACAACAGGTACACAACGCACAACAACACACAACAACAGGTACACAACACACAACAACAGGTACACAACGCACAACAACACACAACAACAGGTACACAACACACAACAACAGGTACACAACAACAGGTACACAACACACAACAACACACAACAACAGGTACACAACAACAACAACAACACACAACAACAGGTACACAACACACAACAACAGGTACACAACGCACAACAACAGGTACACAACACACAACAACGCACAACAACAGGTACACAACACACAACAACAGGTACACAACAACAGGTACACAACACACAACAACACACAACAACAGGTACACAACACACAACAACACACAACAACAGGTACACAACACACAACAACACACAACAACAGGTACACAACACACAACAACAGGTACACAACACACAACAACGCACAACAACAGGTACACAACACACAACAACAGGTACACAACACACAACACACAACAACAGGTACACAACACACACAACACACAACACAGACGCACAACATGAGGTGCACACACATACACAAATGCACAATGCACACAAACGTGTGTTTTTGTGTATCTTGTATTTTTTTGTGTTTCATGTGTCGTGCTTCATGTGTGTGTGTGTGTGTGTGTGTGTGTGTGTGTGTGTGTGAGTGTGTGTGTGTGTGTGTGTGTGAAAAGTTCAGGTCAGTGTGTTGAAGTTTTTCTGTGGATGAAGTGAAGTGTGAAGCTGCACCTGTTTGTGGGAGGAGTTTGTTGAAAAAGGAGCAGTGTGCAGGTGTGTGCAGGTGTGTGCAGGAGTGTGTGTAGGTGTGTGTAGGTGTGTGTAGGTGTGTGTAGGTGTGTGCAGGTGTGTGCAGGTGTGTGCAGGTGTGTGCAGGTGTGTGCAGGTGTGTGCAGGTGTGTGTAGGTGTGTGTAGGTGTGTGCAGGTGTGTGTAGGTGTGTGCAGGTGTGTGTAGGTGTGTATAGGTGTGTGTAGGTGTGTGTAGGTGTGTGCAGGTGTGTGCAGGTGTGTGCAGGTGTGTGCAGGAGTGTGTAGGTGTGTGCAGGTGTGTGTAGGAGTGTGCAGGTGTGTGCAGGTGTGTGCAGGTGTGTGCAGGTGTGTGCAGGTGTGTGTAGGTGTGTGCAGGTGTGTGCAGGTGTGTGTAGGGGGCGGTGTGTGTACGGGGCAGTGTGTGTAGGGGCAGTGTGTGTAGGGCAGTGTGTGTGTGTGTACGGGGCAGTGTGTGTAGGGGGCAGTGTGTGTAGTGTGTGTAGGGGGCAGTGTGTGTAGGGGGGTGTGTGTAGGGGGTCGTGTGTGTAGGGGGCGGTGTGTGTAGGGGGAGGTGTGGGTACGGGGAGGTGTGTGTACGGGGCAGTGTGTGTAGGGGGCAGTGTGTGTAGGGGAGTGTGTGTAGGGGGCAGTGTGTGTAGGGGGCAGTGTGTGTAGGGGGCAGTGTGTGTAGGGGGCAGTGTGTGTAGGGGGCGGTGTGTGTAGGGGGAGGTGTGGGTACGGGGGAGGTGTGTGTAGGGGGCAGTGTGTGTAGGGGCAGTGTGTGTAGGGGCAGTGTGTAGGGGCAGTGTGTGTAGGGGGCAGTGTGCGCAGGTTGAAGTTCAGGTTGAATCTGGAGGAGCGACTAACGACTGTGAAAAATGTTTGTGTTAAATTTTCACTGATGAGTTTAACAGAAACATGTACACACACACACACATGTACACACACACACACATGTACACACACACACATGTACACACACATGTACACACACACACATGTACACACACACACACACACACACACACACATGTCACACACACACACACACACACATGTACACACACACACATGTACACACACACACACACACACACACACACACACACACACATGTACACACACACACACACACACATGTACACACACACACACACATGTACACACACACACACACACACACACACATGTACACACACACACACATGTACACACACACACACACACATGTACACACACACACACATGTACACACACACACACACACACACACATGTACACACACACACACACACACACACACATGTACACACACACACACACACACACATGTACACACACACACACACACACACACACATGTACACACACACACACATGTACACACACACACACACACACACACACACACATGTACACACACACACACACACACACACATGTACACACACACACACACACACACATGTACACACACACACACATGTACACACACACACACACACACACACATGTCACACACACACACACACACACACATGTACACACACACACACATGTACACACACACACACACACACATACATGTACACACACACACACATGTACACACACACACACACACACACACACACACACAGACACATGTACACACACACATGTACACACACACACTCATATAACACACACATCACAGTCCTGGTTTAGACCTGGTTCAGTCCTGGTTTAGTCTTGGTTTAGTCCTGGTCTAGTCCTGGTTCAGTCCTGGTTTAGTTCCTGGTCCATGTGTCCTTACATGTGTGTAATCCCTCAGTGGTCCAGGTCTAGACCAGGACTAAACCAGGACTAAACCAGGACTAAACCAGGTCCATGTGTGTGTTCTAGTCTCTGTCTCTTACTCTTGTTCTGATCCAGCTCCAGTTTGTTCTAAACACATTCAGGAAAGGTTCTGCTCGGTTCTGCTCGGTTCTGTCAGTGGAACTTTTCCAGTTTTGATACAAGTAATTTTCGATTCATCTGACGGACCTGCTGTGCCTGCGGGTCGTGGGTCTGAGGTGCTGAGGTTCTGGGTCTGGGTGTGAACTGAGCTTCGTTTGAGTCCAGAAATTCCACATTTTTTTCTGAGAAGATCTGAGTGTTTCCTGTGAAGCAAAGTGATTTCTGACCCTGGACTTTCCACTGGACCTGGACCTGGACACATCTGGACCTGGACCTGGACCTGGACCTGGACCTGGACCTGGATCTCGGTCGTTATGAGATGAAGAGAAGATTTGAGTTATGGGTTTAAAAGTGAAATGGATTTTCTTTGTTCTGTCTCTTGTCTCGTGTTTTTCTCATCAGAGTTTTTACAGAACTGCAAAACAAAATACTTTGTCCAGATTCTGTAAACAGTAGTCATAGTAGTAGTAGTAGTATTTGTTGTTGTAGTAGTAGTATTTGTTGTTGTAGTAGTAGTATTTGTTGTTGTAGTAGTTATAGTATTTGTAGTACTTGACAGTTGATGAGGAGTTTGTCTCGTGAGTCTGAGGTGATTTCAGGTCACGTCCGAAAAACTCAAAACAAACAGAAACTTTAAACCAGAGACAAAAATACTTCTGAAGGAAAAGTACAAAAGTATTCACAGAAGTATCAGCAGAGGTACTCACAGAGGTACTCACAGAAGTACTCACAGAAGTACTCACAGAAGTACTCAAAAAAATATCAGCAGAAGTATTAGTAGAAGTTTTCCTGAGTCCTCACATCTGTTTGAAATCAGAAAGTTCAGATTTGCAGATGTTTTTTTCCAAAACATCACAGAAATATTCAGAATATTTTCCCAGCAAACGAAGAACAGAAGAACAGAGAACGATAGAACCACAGAAGAACCACAGAACAGAAGAACAGAAGAACAGAGAACAACAGAACCACAGAAGAACAACAGAACCACAGAACAGAAGAACTCTTGTCGTTGGTCTGTGACACTTGGTTCTGTGTGTTCTGTCAAACGTGATCAGAACCTGGTCCATGTTCTTGATACGACCTGATGTTCCTGATACGACCTGATGTTCCTGATACGACCTGACGCTCCTGATACGACCTGATGTTCCTGATACGACCCGGTGTCACGTTGTGTTCAGTTTTGTTTCTGGTCGTTGGTTTGGAGTGTGTGGGCCGTGTGTGTTTTTGGGCCGTGTGTGTTTTTGGGCCGTGTGTGTTTTTGGGCCGTGTGTGTTTTTGGGCCGTGTGTGTTTTTGGGCCGTGTGTGTTTTTGGGACGTGTGTGTTTTTGGGACGTGTGTGTTTTTGGGACGTGTTTGTTCTGAAACGTCGACATCACCAAGAAAAGTCCATCAAAATCTTTTATTTTCTTCGTTTATTTTGTTGGTGACGTGAGATTCTCTCGATCCTCAAACCTCCAGCTGTGCTCCGGTTCCTCTCGTTCTGGTCGTTGAGTTTTTATTCCACGATGAGCTTTTGTTTTTTCTTCGTTGCAGTTTGAGTTTCTTTCACTTTCCTTCCGTCTCTTAAGTTTCTTGTTCTTGTTGAGTCTCGTTTTTCCGTCAAATCTGCACAATCTGATCTTGTTTTTGGGGCGTTTGTCTTCAGTCTCTCAGGGTCTTTATAAGTCGATGTTTAAATGTTTAAATGTTCAGGAGGAACAGGAGCAGATCTCGTGAAATGATTTATTTAATCTTTAAGTCACAGGAAAAACACAAACATGAAAAAAATTAAATTTATAATCTGAAAAATACAGTAAAAAAAACTCTGGTGTTTTGGTGAAGTGTGATGATCTGAACTGTGTGTGTTTGGTTTTTGTTGTGTTCTTGTGTTGTATCTGTGCTCATGTAGTAGTATTTGCAGTAGTAGTACTTATACTTGCAGTAGAATATGTATTTATTTATTTATTATTTATTTATTTGGGTCACAGGTTTATTTGGACATTAATTTACAGACATAATTAACACACAAACTGAAAAGGTGTCGGCTGAAGTTTAAGTTTATTCTGTCTTTACTCTTTATTCCTTTATCAGAGCTTCGTCTTTACATCAGTTCTTCATAAAAACAGCAAGAGGAAAACAAACAAATCAGAAATGGAACGACAAAGTCCTACAACACAAACTAAGTCCTCATAATTCACGTTTCTGTGCAGAGTGAAACATTTAAACCTCTTGATAAAGTGAAAGAGTTTGGTGCACAGTTCAGTTGTTCCACAGCTCCAGCCCTTTAACACATTTACAACATTTCATAAAGTTTGTTCTGATTT